AGCTGTCCCTGTGATGTCCTGCATGGTTTTTTTTTGCCCTCAGGACATGATCCAGTTGTGATCTGAGGCTCTTTCTTCACCTTTCCTTGCCTACATGACGTTCATATTTTTGAAGTCTGCAGACCAGCAATGTCTGTACCTTTATAGGGAGGGCTGTCGTTGTTGTGGAGAGCATTTGAAGCTCATGCAAATACCCTAATTCTTTTTTTTTTAAGGTTTTTGCCATGGGGTGCGTGTGCTCACCAGAAACAGAGACAACAAGAGGGAACGTGAGAAATCATCCCTGGGGATGGCCACACCACAGTCCCTTCTCTGTTTTCCTCCTGGGATTTTGGGTATGCACGTACACATGCCCGCTGTGATTTTCAAAAGCAAGCCACCAGGTCTTGGACTCAAACGGCAGTCAGCCATGTGGGAGTCCAGTTCCTTAACCACCGTGCCACCTACTGGCCCTAGTACCCTGCTTCTTATCACACTGCTCCCCTGGATTTAGCATCCTTTGATGAGTTTATTAGGATGATTACAAAGAAGTGATTTTCTTCCACGTTGAGGAAAAGCTTTCCCTTTTCCATTCATTCATTTGTTTGTCTGAACGTTAACTTCCTTTCCCTTTAAGCCAGTTTTGTTTCTTGGAGATGTCAGGGGCTCCTTGGAAGGGCAAGGAGGAAGGTGAGCAAACCCAGTCCCTGTCCTCTCCCCTCCGTGCAGCCAGAGGAACACCACCTGTGTCTGTTCGGTGTAGTCAGGTTCTGTGTAGGATTTCAGGTACAAACAAAAGTGGTCTGCTCTTTATGAAAAGTTTGAAAACCACTGTCTTAAATAAATAACCTCTTTCCCAAGTCAATGAACCCTATGTTCAAAACATTGCAAAAGCACTTTGCATATTCCCTGAATCCCAGTACAGATAAGATTTCATAGAAATTTAATGCCATGAGAGACCTTGGTGGTCTTGTTCTTTAGTCCTCCTCACAAAACGCACTTCACACAGCCTCAGCTGTAATTGCAACGCTGGAGGGGGGATGTGAGTAACCTTGGGCTTCAGTTGATTCTAGCTTCACCTTTCGGGAGAAGGCAGGTGGCAGAAGTGTGGTATGGCTACCAACCAGAGTGAGTGGGCCTTGTGCAATGTGTGGAAAATGGGAGTTGCTTCACTGGGGTGATTCCTCCCCCTTTCTCCCCTGTGCCCTAAAGAACTGAAGATAGAATTTCGGCTCCAAGGACTTTCACATTAATAGACATGTATAGTCAAAATGAGGCTGTGTAGACTTAAAAACAACATGTGTGGGTACCAACAGTTGGTGTAATGGCTATGTCGCTGGACTCCCATGTAGTATACCGCAGTTTGAGTCCCTGACCCGGTGGCTTAAATTCATGCTGGGCGCATATGTGTGCATGCCCAAGATCCTGAGAGGAGAGTGGAGAGGAAGGGACTGTGGTGTGACCATCCCCCCGGGGGGCAATTTCTCACTTTTTGTCTCTGTCTTTCTGGCATGCGCACGAGCCCTATAGCAAAAACCTCTCCAAAAAGAAAAAATAAATAAAACAACCTGTATGAGAAATGACCCCATGGCCTGATGGTTATGGGATCCAGGTCCCGCACGGCTGACTACATAGTTTAAATCTTATCCCCAGCAGCTTGGAAAACATGCTGGGCACTTGGGCTTGTGTGCCCAGAGCCCCTGTGGGATGGAGAAATGGAGGACGAGGGCTTGTGGCGAGACCATTCCCCACTGTGGGCTGCTCTCTCCCTCTCCCTTTCTGGCCACAGGGCATGCACAGGCCATGTGGCAACTAGATTAAATAAATAAAACTGAATGTAAAAAAAGGAAGCAGGTGTGAGAGAACGTGGCTTGTTGGGGAAGAAACAGTCAATGTGACTGGAGCCTGTGGCTTACGGCAGGAGGAGGTCACATTTATTACTGGGTGATGGGAACTACTCCCAACACTTGGGATGTGATAACTAGTGTTATCTTCACAACGACATTTTGATTTGGGTGCTGTATGATTGCCCCATTTTCCAGATGATAAAACCACAGCCCAGAGAGGTCACTTATTGAGTAGGTGGTGGACCTGCTGCCACCTATCATTACACCAGCTTGAATACCAGCTTTCTGAGTGGGCCTGGACCTTCCTGAGCTCCTGGAAATTACTCTTACAAAGAAGTTTCGATAAGGTGATATGTATAGAAGCCCCCAGCATCTTATCTCTGACAGTCAGTGCTTATTCAGTGGCCAACAGACACGTAGCTCGCTTGTCAGTGTTTTGTTAATGGCCCCATGGCCTGCAGTGAATCCCTGCAGATTACATTGGTAAAAGGAAGACCAAAGCGGGACACTGACTTCCTTGGATATGTTCTCCAAAGTGGAATTATACCATCAGCTATCAGGATTATAAAACTGGTTGCATGTCAAAATAATTCTGTCAAGATTGGCATCTTACATTGACCAGCTGGATTGAAATTTGACTGCCCCAGCTCATCTGGCCCTTTAAGGTCCTGAACACCCCTTCAAGCACTCTTGTGCAAGAGAGAGGATGAGTTTCTTTCAGTGCCAGATTATCTGAACACAGGCTCAGCTACTTCTAGGAATAAGACAAAGCAGGGAGGACATTGCCAGTCGAGTGATTCTTGCAGGGAGAACTAACAGTAGGTGCCAGCACCTCCAAAGTGTGACTGAAAGCCCCAGTTCTGGGTCCTGGGCAGAGCCAGTGGAGATGCTCTTCCTCCAGCGTGGAAGCTGTTAAGACGGATTCTGACGGCCGTAGCAGCTGAAGCCTCACAGGGAGTGTCTCGGAGCGAGCCACACGTTGGAGGTGGTGATTTCAGGAATTTGGAAGCCCATTTCTCTTCTTTTGGCATGTTCGACCTTTGGTGAGGCCTCAGCTGGAACTCTGTGTATTCAGTAACCACTTGCTAACTTCTGAGAATTCAGTACTCCTGAAGGGATACACATCATTAATACTATTTACAGGTTACTTCCTTGGTGTCAGGAAGTGTTTGAACTCTTTTTGTTGTCATTGTTTTTTTCTTTTTGTTTTGCTGTAGGGCACTTGCTGGAAAGAGACAAAGAGAGACAGAGACAGC